GCATAGCAGCCACAGCCTCCCATAGGCTGTGTCTATACTGGCACCTTTTTCCGGAAATGCTTAAAACGGAACAGTTTTCCATTATAAGTATTTCCGGCAAAAGGGTGTCTACATTTGGTCAAGGGACTCGTGTTCCTGGGCTTCCTGCCACTCACCTTTCCCTTCGAACATGCCTAGGAGCTGCGCCCCCATGGCCATGGCGACGTTGGAGATGAGGCAGGACGCCAGCTTCTGGCTGTGGGACATGAGGTCGTAGCGCGGCGAGATGAAGAAGTAGGGGATGTAGGAGAAGAAGTAAAGGAAGCCCCCGGCCGCAGCGGCCACGTTCGCTGCAGGTGCAGAGAAAGAAAAGCCCTTTTCAGCAGCACGGGGAGACCCGCACCGGAAAAGCGGCTGCTTTTCCGGAATAAGTGGCCCAGTGTAGACACAGCCATAGTGTTTCTATGGGTGATGCACATCTGCACATGCCTTGGTATGCAGAACAATATTCGTTCCGCACATGGATGGAAAAAATTAGAGGGAACATTCATCAGGACCCTCTATAGAGGTTTTATCCAAATTAGGACTGAATGCAAAGTGAATGGTTTGTCTTTGTCCATTGGACAGGGGTGCTGGAACAATTTGTATGAGAGCCATTGACCAAACTGTTAACCCTGTGTATAATGGAAAGCACTCCAAGAGGGAAGGGAGCGGGGGACAGCAGCAACCTCAGCACCCCTGGTTCTAGCACCTCTGTGTCTGTGTGTGCCCCTCACTGTCGTGGTGTGTCACACTAAGGTCCCCTTTACAAACCGCATAAAACTACATTTTCGAAAGGGTTTAAGAGACCGAGGGGGTCTAAGCCCGTTGTCAAGGGCATCTAAATTAGGGATGTTTAATCGCGTTTATTTTAGTAATCGTGTAGCCGCAAAAACATGTATTGGTTTGACTAAAATACACCCCAGGAGCAGGGCTGGCAGCCAGTGCACTCCCAGCTCCTGGCCCCACTCCTGGGGAGCCCCCAGCCATCACACGCTGCTGCCTCCCCATCAGAGGCAGCAGCGCGGGATGCCAGGCAGGAGCTGGCCCCAAGGGGGGCCAATTTAAACACCAGCTCCCCTCGCAGACCAGCTGCCTGTCGCCCTGTGCCCGAGGGCCCTGCAAGGTCTGTGGGGTCCGAAGCCAGGCTGGGCCTCTCCCTCCTCGCACAGCCCCACCGCTAAGGGGCATGGGTCCCGCAGCGCCTCTTCGACGCCCCGTCTTCCGCGGCGCAACCGGCTGCATCCTGGCTAACGCAGCCTCGGGCTGAGCCGGGCCGGCAGGCGGATCCGCAAGGGGGTGGAGAAGGGGCCATTGCCCCGCGGATGTCAAAGGTTACCGGGGGCTCACCTCGGGAGAAGAAGGTGCTGACCATGAAGCTGAAGGAGATGGAGGAGATGGAGAAGATGGCCAGGAAGGTGAAGACCAGGGTTGGGTCACTGTTGGTGAGCACCGCCCCCTGCTGGCTCACCTACGAACAACATTCGGGCCATGAGCTCGCACAGCAGCTAGGCTGGGGCAGAGGGCAGCACAGAACAAGGGACGAGACCCAAGAGCTGCCGGAGCTACGGGCGGGATGATCCTGGCGCCGACCAGACTCTACAGCAGAGCGGCCTTTGCGCCCCCACACGCCAGGGCCTCCTCAGGCTCCTCACCAGAGGGCCCAACCCACAGTCCCTCCGGCCCAGCACGGCACAGGAAAGCCGTCGGCCGCGGTTCTGGGACGCCTGCCCAGGAGGAACGGCTCCTCCCAACTCAACAGGAGGCTTAGAGCCCTTGGAAAAGCCAGGGCAGCCGACTCCGTTAGCAACCAGATGTCCCTGCTGCCCTGAGGACACCCCTCTCCGGAGCCCTGCAGCGCCTGGCCTCCACGACACCTTGCGGCGAGAAGTTCCACAGATGAAGCGCCGAAGCTCCGTGCCAAGCGAGCTGTGGGCTCTGCAGGGGGAAGCCAAACCCAGGGCGGCAAAGGCCCTGCCTGGAGGAGCGAAGTGACCGTCCAGGTTCCTCGCCCTGAGAAGGGGCAGGCCCCTGCCACCCACTGCAGTGAGCAGAAAGGTTCTCGGGAGCCGGGAGCGGTGGGAAATACAACTCGGGAGGCCCATGAGTGTGTAAGACACCCCCGCCACTGGTGCCAGGACTCACCTTGACACAGAAGAGCACGGTGACGAAGAAGATGGAGACCAGGAGGAAGAGGAAGAACATGAGGAACCAGGCACTCCAGTGCAGCCAGTTGCTGAGGCCCATCATGCGCATGTACTCCTGCGGGAGGCCAACGCAAGCTGTCCGTTACCCACGGCCCTGCCGTCGGGGGCGCGGGGCAGGAAGAGGCGGCCGAGGGGCCAGGCCCCGCGTGGGACGCAGGGTGCGGTGGGCACGGCCTCCGAACAGGGAGCGCCAGTGGCGCCAGATGGCCTGGGGGTGGCGCTGCAGAGAGAGCAGGGTGCCCGGACCCACTTAGGGACCATCGCGATGCTCTGGTCTGACCCAGGAAAAGCCCCTCCCCCTGCGGAACGGGCACCAGGGCCCTCACATCAGCAACCCCACGCGCTAGCCGGACCCCCATCTCTAGGGGTGAAACAAGGCGTCGTGCCCTGACACAGACAGCCCCGTTCCCCAGCCACCCCCATGCAGCTCCCCTGCCCCCCCAGCTCCCCGCTGCAGGCACCAGACAGACAGAGCCGAGACCTCCCCTTCTGGAATTAGCCCCCGGCCCCCTTCCG